AAGATGTTTTTGTGCTTTACTTGGAAGGAATAGAATCCGGTATCTAGTCATATATTTCTTTAGACCCTGCACCGCAGATTTATCGCTATATTGTCTCATAAATATGCAGATTTGACAGTTTGGAAATTTGAATCGAGAGACCAACGCATTTTTCCTGCAATTTCGACATTATTTATGCATGCCTAGAAAAAGTGAATCTACAAAACGTTAGTCCTTTATGTTAGGAAACGTTTATAAAAGTAAATGACCAGTTGAACCTATTTTCCTGTTCGTTAAATCCGTTTGAAAAAATAAACAATGTTACAGTATAGAGCGAGGTAATTTGTGCAGGGTTACAGCATAGACCTAGCGATTTTTATCCGATTTTGTTACAGTTTATACCCAGATTTCGGTTACAGTTTAGACTTCGATATTTTCTATATATACTAGGTAAAATGTATGAATGTTACATAGACTTTTAAATCTCTGTGAGCTTATTGGCCCGATGGCTATTCGTCCGTCTGTCGTACATATGTGTGTGCAATCTCATCCGCTCAGTAACTACTTGACTAAATGTGATGAAATTTACATGACTTTCTACCAATTAAGTTGTTCAAATGGTTTCGGTTGCAATCGGGGATACGAAAACCCAAAACATAGATTTTGAAAAAAGACAATGTTTAAAGACCCTTCTCATCTCGAACCAAAAGCATTCAAATCAAATCATGATCATGGCGTCATTTCGAATGCTTCTTTGTTGAAGTTACGATTATTTTGTCATTATTAAATTAAAAGTCGTTTTTCTTTATTTCAGACATCCTGTATAGCAGTTTTCAATTTTTTGAAAAAGAAAACAATATTGAAAGTTAAAGAGTATAAATTAAGGTCAGACAATTACAATATTTTTTTTTTCTAGTGAGCCTGATGGAGGTACATAATAGTGGCAGAGTCGGGATAAGGCCGTCGACTTCAAATCATCGTTCATTTACTGCTGTAGTTGAAATCCAATCATGACTTTGGATTCTTTGTATGTGAGGAATTTATAAAGCTAATTTACGGAAGGTCGGTGGTTCTAGTCAGGTGCCCGCTCGTGTCTTTAATGTTTCACAAAGGGTATCTGGGGTCTTTCTTTACACTAAAGCAGAAATGTTTTCACATGACTTCAGTGTCGTTGAAACTTAAAATCCGAGAAAGCCAAACGTAACAAAATAGAGTTAAACAGAATCCCTAAAGAAATTTCAACACAACAAAATTGAAAATATCCATAAACCTTTTTAAATACTCACAAAATACATTATGGTAGATGAAAATTCCAACTTAAAATAAAATTTAAGGTTGCAGTATTGCTCACTTAAATACTGTTTAATCATTCTTAGGGTATTGCCTGCCTGTTAATTGTGTTTTTTGACAGCTTATCTATGGTATGCAGGTTTCATGACTTCCGATCCCCTCTCAAAATTTCATTTTGTTTAGTTTCACTCATTGTAATCTCGTTTAGGGCACACACAATTTTTAACTTGGGGGAATATGCCGCTTTTCACAGAATGGCAATAACGTGTCACATTGACGGTTCCATGATAACCGCCATATGAACACATCCACAGATGTTAAAAAATCTGAAGTGTACCAGTTCATGTTTAATGTGAATTCTGCTGAAGCCGGTGCTAGGAGGCGTGGACGGTAGCTTGCAGTTACCACTACCTTCCATGAACAGGTTTAATCAAACTGAGCCTGCAACATTTTCATGTTTTCCGTGTTGGACTTCTGTTAAGGATTATTTTTTCTCTATTTTATTACTAATAGGCATTATTATAATGTGTAATGATATCAAGCAATAATCTTTCTTCTCTCAATACAATTCGATAAAAGTTACTGTTGTTGTCGTGAAAACAGTCCTTACTTAGGACATTACTTATTCTGCAAAAAGTCTCAATCTGAAACTTAAAGTAAGAAAATAGCAAACTATAACTTTTCTGCTATTGAAAAAAAGTAATAGAACCTTTTAAGAATGTATTAAATAGAAAGGTATGAGTTATTTCATAAAAATAATGGATACACGAACTTTAATTGAAATTTGGCAAGTATCTAAACTGTAACAGAAATCTGGGTATAAACTGTAACAAAATTAGATGATAGTCGCTAGGTCTATGCTGTAACCCTTCGAAATTAACCTCGCTCTATACTGTAACATTGTTTATTTTTTCAAACGCATTTTACCAACAACAAAATAGGTTCAACTGGTCATTTACTTTTATAAACGTTTCTAAACATAAAGGACTAACGTTTTGTAGATTTACTTTATCTAGGCATGCTTAAATAATGTCGGAATGGGAGAAAAATGCGTTGGTCTCTCGATTCAAATTTTCAAACCGTCAAATCTGCACATTTATGGGACAATATAGAGATAAATCTGCTGTGCAGTGTCTGAAGAAATATATGACTAGATACCGGATTCTATTCCTTACAAGCAAAGCACAAAAACATCTTTTAGAAACTAAACTACTTGTAGTATGGACCGGAATAAAAATCACCTACCTGTCCTCCCAACAAATAATCCTCCATCTTGAAAATTCTATACTGTAACCGAAAAACGCGATACTGTAACACGTTCCCTACGGTGTATATAGCTAACGCATATACACGTGCATGTACCTCTCAATTTAAAGCATATTCAAACTAGAAATGTGTCCATAGGACACGGGTGCCCCCACCGCGCCACTGTTCTGTCAATCTTTTTACTAAGTCAAGGGAAATAACTCTACAAATATTTGATAAATCCACAAGCGAAACTCCAGGTGCAAATCTAAAATATGCTGAGCAACCTGCCCATAAGGTTTAATGACTATGTCAAATCCAAGTTGAAAATTGCAAAAATTTTCTAAGTGAAGGGCAATAACTCTAAAAATACTAAATAAATCCAGACGAAAATACCTGGTGCACAACCCGACATGCTTTATCAATTTTTTCTGTAAAGTTACAAAGGCTTCCCCAGGGGCAAAAAACTTTTTGAGGGTTTCGTTCGGGGCACCCTGTTTGGGAAAATTTCCAAAATTTTTTCTAAAATCCCAAGGGGCAATAAAACCCGGGAAAAACTAAAAAAAATCCACATGAAAAATACCCCCGGTGGGAAAACTACTATGCGATCAACATTCCTGTAAAATTTCATGACCCCTAGGTTTAAAAAAACTTTTCGGGGGGTTTACCCTTTTCGACACAAAATTGAAAAATTGAAAATTTTTAAATAATTTAAGGGCAAAAAACTCTGAAAAATTTCTAAAAAATCCAGACAAAAAATACCCGGGGGGACAAATACACATTTCTGTCAACATTCCCGGGGAAAGTTTCAAAGGGCTCAGTTTAAAAAAATTTTTTTTGGTTTCATGCCGACACAAGGCTTTAAAATTTTCAAAAATTTTTCTAAATCAAGGGCCCAAAAAAACTCTGAAAATAAATTAAAATTCCCCGAAAGAAAAAATTTGGGGGTTGCAAACAACCATGCCTTTATTTAACATTTCGGGGAAAGTTTCCAATTTACTCTAGGTTTTAAATACTTTTTTGGGGTTTAAAATGCGACACAAAAGTGAAAGGAAAGGGAAGGGGAAACCCCGGACGGAACGGACAAGGGGTTAAAATTTCCGGCCCAACTTACGGTTTTTGGGGGCCCCCCAAAAAGAAACCCTCTTAAAAGGTTAACCCTTTTTTTTTCAAAATTTAAGTTTTATATGTATCGCATGTTGTTTCAGCATGTAATGTGAAAAATGACGTTTTTTTACCCAAAACCCCTTTTTAAATCAAAAATTGTACAATCAACAAGGGGACCTTAGCCCTTCCCCTTATAAAATTTGTAATGTTTAATTTTATGGGAAAATTTTTTTAAATTTTTTAAAACCCCATCCTCCCCGAAAGGGCCCCAAAATATTTCCCGAAAATTTTAAATTTTGGGGGAAAAAAAAGTACTGGGGTTTTTTTTTTTTTAAAAAAAAATAAAAAAGATTCCAAAATAAAAAAATTAAAAAAATTTTCCGGGGTTATTTGGGGAAAAAAATGACCGATTTTGGGAGTTTTATTTCTATGCATTATTACAAATTTTGGAATTTTCTTGTTAAAATGCAAGTGCGGGGTTTCCCATTTTGTTAAATTAATCTTTGTTCACTTTACAATAAATTTTTCTTGTTTTAAAAAACATTTTTTTTAAAAATTTTTATTTCTTATTTTCATAAAATTTTTAAGGGGGGAAAAATTTCAAAGGATTTGTCTTTATTTTGAAAAAGGGAAAAAAAAAACGGAGTTTTCGATTTAGATTGGGAAGGTGTCCCGTTGGAGCTTTTCGCTACTTTACACCATAAGCTCCAAAACCACCCCGGGAAAAACTGGGGTTTTTGGGGGAAATGAAATAAAAACGAAGAGTCCGAAAGGGATTTGCGATTTGATGACCCAGGGACTTTGAAAAGTCGAAATACCCGGGTTTTGGTTTTGACACGAAGTTAAATAAAATCACGGTTTTTGATCCGGTGGGTTTTTCGGGTTTTTTTCGGAATTTTTTTTCCAATGATCGGGTATTTTTTCGTGTTATCGTTGTTTCGAGTTGTGTGTGTGCGTGCATGCGTGCGTGCGTGCGTGCGTGTGTGTGTGTGTCGCGATGTCCATAACGGGACATCGTGAGATTGTTATAAAAAATAATTATATGTAGCGTTGTTATAACATTAATTTAAGTCTTCCTGAAATTTAACAGTTGGGTAAAAGTTTGGTATTGATCTCTAAATCCCTGGTGGAAGCTCACGAGTGTGAACAAGAACACGTTAGTTATATCACCTATACTGTTTACTAGTTGCCTATATATTCTGTTTGATTTAAGTATTTCATTACAGGGATGTATGAGTGAATGTGTTTTTTATCAATGTGGAGTTGTTGCCCTTTTGAATTGGGCTTCAATTTTTCGGGGTCTTTCAAGGGTTTTGTTGGAAACACATCTAATAACAAAGGACACCCGACAACGGTTTTTTAAACTTGCTCAACAAAGTGCAGGAATAGAAGTCAAATTACCAAAGTAAGAAATAAATAAACAAAGGGTTCTCAGTTTATATTTTTACATGCTTTTGGGGGCACGTTCTTTTTTTTTTGCATGATCTTTACTGTAGAACGAATTTCATAAAATGACCCAAAAAGCAAAAACCAAACCCCGTTAACATCCCTAAAACTCGGATTTTCGCCATGGCAATGATTTCTTTTTTTTTTTGTCAGAGAGATAGGGTCTTATTTTTAATTATTTACCATATCTTAAACACTCAAAGCATATCTCGCTATGGATTATTGTTACACCTCTAATGGGATGTACTATGCAGCTTTAAAGATGAAAAAACGTCAGCCTATTTTATCTTTAAGCATCACTGAATCTGTGTTTTTATAAGTTCATGATGTATAACTTCACATTTATATCTTTTAAGGTCATTTAAACACACATAAAAGTTTCTTTATCAAAGATCGTCTGCTTCTACATTTTTAAATTCTAAATGGCAAGTGTAAGCGCTTAACACTTAGAAACTTCTTTTCAATAGATTTTGCAGGAAAAAGATTTTATAGAGAACATACAGAAAAAAAATATTGTTTAATCATTTATTCATATTCATTAATGTGTATACATTGCAGTGTCCTATTTATTTGACTTCATCTTCAGTGGCACATTTTAATAATCTTTCAAAACAATTGATTGCCGACCGCTCCTCACATTATATATGAACTCCGCTTACTGGTAAAGTCTTCTGATTTTACAAAATACTATTGTGTTATGAAAGATAACTTTTAAAACCCCTGGTATTGTTAACAATTAATGTAAGGTTGGTAAAAGTAAATGCTATTTCATTGGCCACTGTACTGTAAACTAATTATCAAAAATGTGAATTATTCTAGAATAAAGATTTGTTTGTTTACAGCGGCGGCATTAATGGGAAGTCCAGCAACTAAACATGCCATGTTTCAAGAGCACGAGGACCAAGTGAAGAAAGTATTCAGATCTATTGAAAATATAGCAAACAAACATAACGTGAGTTTACTATATCGATGTTTGACTGTATTTCTTACTTAAGTATCCATTATGCATGCATGGGTACAATTTTTAGGCATTTACCTAAAGATCAACTTTTTCTGCTCCTGAAAGCACTGTATTTCTATATAAAACCAACTGATATAATGATAAATTGTTCAGATATTTTTAACTTGCACCCATGTGTATGTATGGAATGTTATTTTGAAACCTTTAGTAGAAAATATTTCCTTTGATTGAAGCCAGTCTTTAATTTTTTACACAGTCCTGATATACATGTATGATGGAGTCTGTTGCATCTTTAGGTACCACATAAATTGGAGCGTTTAAACAAACCGGAAAAACCGGGGGAGGCAATAATAAAAGCCGCGGAACAACAAGACGTACACCTGATAATCGTAGGAAGCCGAGGTATGGGTACGATCAGACGTACAATCATGGGCAGCGTTAGTGATTACATCATGCATCACTCGCACGTGCCAGTTGTCGTCTGCAAGCACGAGGATGAACACCATAAACTAAAATAACAAGTGTGTTGATTAAAATACGTACATGTATGTTGTGCCATTTTAAATATACATGTCCATTTATTTGATAAGATCACTGCTGATTGTCGTCAAGTTTTATTTTGATGTAAACTGTTTTACTTGAAATGTCCGATACCGCAACAAAGAAACATGTTCAGAGTTTTCTCGTCCTAGGTGAAACAAGTGTCTTAGATTTTATATAAGTGTTTACGAAATAGAAAGTGAAGTTTTCACAATGGGTTTCCCCGTTGTAATGATTACTTTAATTTTGTTTTATCTTAAATATATTTCATTGCATAATGTGCATGTATGACAGAACAGAACAGAACAGAAATTTTATTAAGACTTGTACAAAGTACATCATCTACAATACATTATATTCACATATATTTTAGCTGCATGAAAATTTACAAACAAAATCTGGATATCAATTTTACGTTTCTCAATTAGTTTAATAATAAAATATAAAGTAGGTAAACTAACAAACGGGAGAACAAGAACTGCATAGCTACTGAAAAAAAGATGGCATTTTGTATGATTTTTATAATAAATTAAGATCAATTATGAATATTTTTGGCTGATGGAAACAAATCATTTGGAGATGAACATTTGATTCAATACTCAAAGACATTAATAAGCTTAAAAAGTATGTATACCCAATATCGCAAAGAGCTTCTTGAAACAAATTTTGATAAAACGCTACAAAGCTCATTATTTTATGTGTTTTGAGTTAACAGTTTGGAAGTAATTTGTAAAATATCTGAATGGATTTCTTTAATAGGTAAGTTATTTTTAATATTGTTTTCTTAATACCGTCATACCGATTTTTACCATATACAAAAAAAAATGGTATTCATCTTTCAATATCTAGATATTGCAACCACAAACATATATTTCTTCCGGTCGGAGAATCCTATGTTCTACTAATCTACATGTTTTGAATTCTAAGCGGAAGACATTCATTCTTATGCTACAAAAAATAAAATCTAAACACCTAGGATAGTATATTTCAAGATAACTTCATTATCAAAACAAGAATTTAACATTTCTTCATATATATACATAAACAGGCTTTTTCCAGATTAACTGAACGCCATCTTGCTTGAAGGAATCAAATAAGGCGACATTTATTAATTCTGAATAAAAAGCATAAACACGCTATGTCTATTGTATGTTAAATATGGTTAAATCAAATCGTCAATGTTAAAAATCACCTTATCAGTATTTTTTATTTAAAAAAATATTTTTTATACAAAATTTTTTTCTAGGAACAAAACTACAAACCACCAAATTTGGGGTTCCCACACTGCCCTTTATGGGCTTACTCAAGTGCTTGAGTATAGAACTGTATTTTATATCATAATTGTCTGTATTTACACAGTTTTAAACAAATTTAATAATTCTTACATATCTATGGAATATATAATGGATATCTTCACAAGTTCCATATAACTAGTATTACATATATTTAATTCTAAACTTTTAACAACCTTTTCAAAATTTTCACCATGTATTCTTTCCAATTTCCTTAGAATTTAGAATAACCCCAAATTCTCACCATGAATAATTTTAATCATTGGTTGAAACGAAGGCATCAAACAACTGAACATAATGTTTTTGACTAGATCAAATCTTACATTTACATAACAGTATGTTCTTTTTGATTTTAAAGCTTTTCTTCAATTAACGTGTTCTTGATTTAGAATAAATTTAACGCTTAGTATAGTTATCAAAATAGATACCTAGATAATTTGAATCCATTAATCAGCTTTCGATTCTTGGCCATTCATAGGTCCAATGCTCAAGATGCTAAAATGCAACACCCCTTTTTCGAATACCATGGATAACATTTTTGTTTTTGAGGTAATAACTTTTAAGGCCCCAAGTTTACAATAAGACAATAAGAAGATTCAAAAGAAGTTTTGTCATTACATCTTCTGGGTTTGTTTTATGACACAATTAACATTATTTACAAAAATAAGCAATAATTAAGCTTAATATTGACACATGTAAATACAAAACGCCAAGACACTAATTTGAGGCCGCGTCTGACAATAAACCAACCATAAATGAGTATTTGCGACCATACTTCAAGCATAGAACTCAGACCGGCCTGACGCATCTGCGCAGTCTGATCAGGATCCATACTGTTCGCTTACAAACCCTATAGCAAGTAGGGAAACTGATAGCGAACAGCATGGATCCTGATCAGACTGCGCGGATGCGGCTGGTCTGGATCCATGCTGGTCGCAAACGCACTATGTTGGTTTTGTCGTGACGCAGCTCATTTGTTATTGCTTTCATATGAACAGTGGCCTTTGAATGGCCTTCATTACTTTAATTCATGTTTTATTTATTGTATATTGACAATGGTTAATTAAAAATCTTATATGCTATATTGTTTTGTTTACTTCATATTTGTATATTCAATCGGTATTTCTATAATTTTGGTAAACAGGTTTGCTTAAATAGAAATAACATATCGCATCTTTACATGAGTTATGTTGTACTGTAGTTTATTTCTCTCAATAAAATGACATCGGTGAATAACAAGTAAAAAAAATAAAAAACAACAGCTTTTTTGGGCATTACCCACCCAATTAATTGTTGTAGAATTATATGAATTACAGATTAGAGACATGAGTGTTGATTTTATCTTACTAACATTTAGATACTTTGTCGACATTAGCCAGTAAGTGACGCGGAGAAATGCAAATTTATCTGCGTTATTTAAAATGTATAAAATATGGCAAAGGGGAATAACTGTATGAAACAGATGTCTGGCTTCTACGTATTTTTAGCATAATAGTGTTTTATTGTTCATGAATTTATAATCCATATGCTTTATGTTGCTAAATTCATATTTTCATGTTGTACACATATGTAAGTATCAGTATGACGCGGCTGTTATTTGGTAAGCTCTGGTATTAGTAAAAACTTTAAGCTGAGACGAAATTTTACATTACATTATGTACTACATTTTTGTAATACTTATGCAAGATTTTTGTTTATTATTTTATTATTCTTTACATCTGGACCAATTATTCCATCTGTTATATTTATATTGTTTTTTGTTAAGTGACACCAAGTGTTTGTTTTGTTCTAAAGTAGGTATGTTTGGTATTTTTGTTCTACACAATTTTTGGCATGTTAACAAATGACCAAGATCTAATTTCAACAAATGTGAACAATATAGGTCTCTGCTTTTATGTAATAAATGCATGAACTTGAACTGTTTTGTGTTTGAATTACACATGTATATATGAGCTGCGCCACGACAAAACCAACGTAATGTGTTTGCGACCAGCATGGATCCAGATCAGCCTGCGCATCCGCGCAGTCTGATCAGGATCCATGATGTTCGTTTGCAAACCCTATTACAAGTAGAGAAACTGATAGCGAACAGCAATGTTGATCCTGATCAGACTGCGCGAATGCGCAGGCTTGGTCTCGGATGCAATGCTGGTGCGTTCTGATCAGCTCATTATGGTATGGTTGTCACATTTGGCGCGGGCTCATCATTTATGTTTAAATACAGCACCAGTTGCAATCCTTACAATTGATATATAACAAAAGAAAATATCCGAACTAAGAGTCAACTGTGTAGACAAGGCACGAAAACGGTTGCATTGTTCGATTATGAAAGTGACCTCAAACATACATACTAATTATACGCGGTTTCTTTAGCGAGAGGTCAACTAAGACTAAGACATGCGCAGTTGTTGTCATCGCACTTATTTAGGTTTAACAACAACTCGTTAGAAAATATTTCCTTTGTTAGCTCCAGGGCTAATTTTAAGTTTCATATTATAATGACTATTTCATATGAGTAACAAGGTGCACAAAAATTATATTGTAATGAATCGGGACCAAAGAATTTCAAGAGTTTTATGGTCGTTATCAAATCCTTTTAATTATAATTAGAGAATTCCGCAGCCAAAAAACTTTGAGGAAAGTGTTATACACTCGGAAAATCTACTCAAAAAACATTATATCTAGAGAATATTTATCATACAGACAGAAAATAATGCATATTTGCATAACTGTGTGATACAAGACAAGCATATTGGTAAGAAATGGAGTATTGCTAGAGAGTTTTCTCACTTGTGGGAACTTTTCATTTTCGTTTAACTTTGCACTAAACCCCATAGTGAAGCATGAGTTGTGTTGAATTGTGATTCTCTACTTTTCGTAAAAATATGATACAATAAGAAGTTAGAAAGGGGTGCATTTGTTATGTTAGTTTAGCAGACGAGAAATATAATTCTGAAAACAAATGGAAGACAGGTGTGTCCTAGTGCTCCATACAAAGAAATACCTAGGCAAAAGTATTAGATGAGCAAGGGTCCCGGTGTAAATACAAATTTGGTATGTACTCTATACATGGAAATAATAGTTTTTGAACAACTCTTTATATAATGATGTTACAGCTCACGGCATATCTAATGGTACTATAGTGGAGGAATCTGTATTGTCTGAGCCCTGGGGTTCTGCATTAAACAGGAATATTCTATTTTGAAGTTCGTGATGCAATATTAAAAATCGGGATAGAAACAAAACAGGCATTGCTGATGGTATTGACGATCTGCACATATGAAATTTTTTGAAAGATAAATAGTAAAATTCAGATTATATAGTTTTACATAAACTCTTTCTAATGTTTGTTTATGAAACGTGGTATGTCCTTGGTGAACTAGGGTAAAAGGTATTAATTAACGACCATTCCGAATCAAATACTAAAGATCAAAGGGATCCAATCGAATTAACAGGGGTAAATTACTTTGGACCCAACCATGTACAAATTATATTGTTATAGTTCTCAAATGAAGACTTAGCAAACTGGCTTGAAGATAATGAAATTACTTGCAGAAGGGGCAAAACGGTTTTTCAGAAATAGAGAAGTACTTTAACAGATCATATTACATAGCCTAAACAAGCACTTATTGAGTAAAACTGGCTACTTTTGGGCTTCCAATTGACTTCAGAAGGCATATGATACTGTAGTTTCCGGCTCTGTTTGTTGGAATCGTATGCTACCATGGGTGTTAATGATATTTGAATGTTAAAGCATTAAATCTTTGTAGCTAATAGTAAGGTTCTGGTGTTAAATTGAATGGCTACATATAAGATTGGTTTTATGTAAGATTGGTTTGGAGACATAGGATGCATTATTGTCACCTGTGCCTTATTTAATTGTTTTAAATAAATGAACTTGTCTTTACTATCAATACACGCTTAGATTTGGGCTTAGAAATTAAGATGATCGGTACTGGAAGGTATCTATTCTTTTATACGCAGATGACATTGTTCTACTGCAAAAATGAAAATTGATTTGCAGACTATGTTGAATACCGTTGTTGTGATTGGTGTTATACCACTATGTCTATTAATATGTCTAAAAGTAATGTTATTACCAGGGTTACTTTAGAGACACATTTCATAGGTCTAAGATCCGAGTATGATAATTGTAAATGTAATGGCATGCGTTAGCACTATACAAGACAAATAATTAACTATATTTAGGTTTGTATTGAATGAGTTCTTAGATTATAATGTAAAGCAAAGTTTTATGTCACAAGCAGCAGGATAGAGCCTTGGGCTTTTAATTGCTAATATTTCAAACTATGAGTGGCATGCCCTACCATGTTTTAAACAAAGTTATGTCACGACTCCGCTAGTTTGCCGGTAGTAGCATATGGGGCTCTATATTTGGGGACAAACAGTATGCCTGTATTGAGATGCCGATCCAAAACAGGAGCTATGAGGTTTCTTTTTGGGTCACAGATAGATATACCCAAATCTGCTGTTTGCTGGTGACTTGGTGCTGGGAACCCAGTGTTTGCTAAGCAGGTTTAAAATGTGGGTAATTAAATGTTTTTATGTGATTTTCAAGTATGGCCAGATTCTCCGTCTAGATAAAACGATCTTTAAACATTAGTAATAATGCTGTCTGGTACCTATAACTTAAAAATGGAATTAAGAGTACAGAATATTTTGAAAGATAACAAACTTGTGGTGATTATATTGCTATGGAACATGTACATGTTACACAAGAAAGAATTGTTAGATAAAGTTGTAGATAATGTTTTTTTAGTGAATATCTAGACAAATTTGTGATTGATCACTTTCACTGATATACGTAGTTTCTAGCATTTCGTGGTCTTAATAGAACTAAGACATATAGAAACATTTTCAAGTTTAACTATGAGACGAAGAAGGGGATGTCAAAACTATAACTGCATAGCAACAGATCTTGCATATGCCTAAATTTCGTATATATGTGGAGTAGCACCCATTATAGGCTAGAGACTGGTAGATTGAGCGGACTTGGCAAGTAAATGAAATAGAATTATTGTCCTTTAATGGCATTAGGGGTAGAAATGAAAACATGTGTTGTGTAATCTGCAAATGTCTATTCTGACATTAGGAATCTTATAAAATTTTTATATACATGTATTTGTTTTGACAAATGTCAGACATAATACCCCGCGTCGGAAAAATCCCCTTTGCATACCCGGGACAAATCCCCTTCATGGGTGGACATAATCCCCTTTCATGTTTTTTGCAAGCGTGGACAAAATCCCCTTCACTACCCCGACAAAATCCTTGTTCATAGGTTTCTAATGTACTTATTAATGCTCATAAAATTATTGATGAATAATGCACTTTTGTTATTTTTTCATTTATAATTATGTATCACTAGTTAACATTTAAATCTTAGTTGGAAGTTTTCATTAAAATTATTGTAATTATCACTTGCATACATCATATTTGATTAGGCAATTTCTTTAATTGTTTTTAAATTGATTTAGTATGAATTAACATTTTTTTATTAGCCCAATTAATTGTTTCATTGATTGTATATTAGTTGATAATTCTAATTGAAATAATATATCATTGTTACAATTTCTATTGATGAAAAGAGTGATTAATATTAATCCCAATCCCACCCCAAGATCACTGGCAAATACCTTTGAATTGATATGACATGCTTTTAACAAAGCAATTTTAATGTGATCAAAATGGTGTCTCTAACCATTGATGTGCTTTCTGCTGAATATATTTTCTACTTATTTATACATTTAGGATATTTCCACACAGCATAATGCAGTATGTCGCTCTCATACACTTTATAATTTATAAACCTTTATAAACACTTTTAAAGGAAAATTCATTCGAGGGGGATTTTGTCCAGGTAGCAATTTTTTATGAGGGGATTTGTACTTCAAAATTTCCCACACATGAAGGGGATTATGTCCACCCATGGAGGGATTATAGTCCAGAATATACAAACAATACATGAAGGGGAGTTATTGTCCGAAGGGGATATATGTCCGTACAAATAAACGATTTTTGACTAATACTTGTATTAATGCTTCAGACTTGCGGTGTCTCCAGATATTGGTAGTAATTGTCGAAATAAATTGATTATACACATGGTAAGGATTTCTCTAATAATAAGTTAAGGGCTTTATATTTTTTATCACATGATAAGACACTGGTTTAATCTAGTTCTCATTTCTATTCCTATTTAAAGTAACAGAAGTATTTGGTTTTAAGAGGGCTGTATCATTTGATTATGACAGAATTTTAAAGTGTTTTTTATTTGACAGCTTGTTTTTAGATAAATTTTAGATAAAGTTTATGTATGGATTAGCAACTGTGTACTATTAATTTTTTTTTTATATGCTAACTTATGGAAAATATTGGGATGTTCTGGTTTTGTGCAGTTCATGGTGTGGGTGGAGCACGACACGTGGTTAACATAAGGTTTAACACTTCTGTGTTCCAACAAAATGCTGATTACTGAATTGTGTATATGCGTGTATAGCGTTCATCTAATTGTATAATGCAGTGGAGTTTTCCATTCTAATAAGACCACCTTGAATGTTTCAAAATCAATTGCCAAATCTCGGCAATATAGTAGATATAGAGTTTTTAAGTTTATGGGAGCTGTAAGTGGCTCGCTGATAGGGACCATTTCCGCTGTTGGGGCCATCATTTTGCTTGTGGTCTCTTTTTTTTATTTCATTTTTGGTGTGAAACTATTACTGTTAACTGTTAAGTATATGTAAATATATGTAAACATATAGTCTCAGATAATTTTCTTTTTAGGAATGACCATATTCGTAAATTGTGTAATTTTATATTTCATTTTAAAATTGTTAACTTTTATGCGATGAGTACTGGAAATGAGATATAAATTATATATTTATTATGGTGGCTGATTAGGAACGCTTTTGTGCGTCGTGTTGACGCTCGCGACAACAGGACAAAGCGCCAAACGGCGCGTTGTCGGACTTTCGTCCTGTCGCTAACGATGTACGCCAAACGGCGCGTTGTCGTGCGGCGTGTTGTCGCGATGTCACATTGCCGCTCGGTTCAAATCAAAGGATTGGCTCATAAGTCAAGCGTCAGGGCGACATCGACAACGCAACGCGCAATGTACCAAATCAGCCACTATATTTTATAGTTAAATTGTTTACTTTTAATTTTTGTGAATAGAAGTGAATATATTGGTATGAAAGAAAAAATATCTGCATGACTCGAGCATGTGTAATATATACGTGTATTAGGCCATTCATTCTGAAGTAAGGCACTTGTATACAAAATGTATAGCTACATTTGTAAGTAAAATAATTCACATAGTAACTCCATTAATATCATTGGGGAGAGGACAGACGAAGAATTGTGTTATTACATTAAGTGTACTTATTAAGAATCCTTTGTTTAGTACACGAATAATGCAACGATTTTAATGTTGAAATGACCTTTAACATACCACCCGTTCTGTCTCGCCTTATAGATAGCGGGATAATGAGATAAGTTTGTTTGTCGTTTTTTTCTGTCTTTCTTTTTCTGAATCATTCATGTATGATCTTGAGAGGTTTTGTTCATTTTTTTATTTTATTTAGAAACATATGAGCGGCGTCACGACAAAACCAACATAATGGGTTTGCGACCAGCATGGATCCAGACCAGCCTGCGCATCCGCGCAGTCTGATCATGATCCATGCTGTTCGCTATCAGTTTCTCTACTTGTAATAGAGTTGGTAAGCGAACAGCATGGATCCTGATCAGACTAATCGGATGCGCAGGATGGTCTGGATCCATGCTGGTCGCAAACGCACTATGTTGGTTTTGTCATGACACGGCTCAAATTATAATTTGGTATTGTAATGTAATACGTACGCATTTCTCGTATCGTATAACGTCTTTGTAGTTTTAAAGGGTAAAAGTTACCGCCGCCTTAAGATGTTTAAAATAAAAACGTATCACTTAAAACAGATAATTAATGACTCATAATTAAACCCATATAAGATATAGTCGTGACAGTGTACACCCTTGATTTAATGTTTTATATTTATATGTTCTTATAAATACTTATAAATACGCGTTTTAACTATAAGCGTTATAAACTAAATATTTTACACATAAAAAGGCCCCAATTGCATTAAACTGAAACCTGGTTTTACCCAAAAAGTTTCAACCTAAAATAACAAAGAATTTTACCATTTATAAAATATTTACAATTATGGTACGGATTTATGTATGGAGTTCAAAAGAAAAGTTGAATTTATCGATTGCCGATGATCGAACATTTAGCGTAATATATCTAACATATACATGTATATATATGCATTTAGGTTTAAAAAAGATTTCGCTGCATTTGGCATTAAGATCCGGGTACCAGTCCAGTGCACACAGTTGTATTTTATTTATAGATAAATCGCATGTCTAAACAAACTAGATCTGACATTTTTACAAAATGGCCGACTCTGGACAGACAGTGACAAATTCTGGAAAGAAGGTTCTAATTGCAATTGACGGAAGCAAACATTCGCACTTTGCATTTGAATGTAAGTTTAAATTTGTTTTACAAGTTTAATTTATTGCTTTTTTTATTTTATTATTAAGTAGCATTATAAACCTTATTATTATTTATTTGGACAAATGGAAGCGACAAGATTTAACTAGAGCTATGTTTATATCGAAACAGAAATATTGTATCATCATTATGGAATTTTAGTTACCAACTTTAACCTAAATAACGACTTAATTTTCTGGTTTACTTCTTAAAACTGCATTTATTCTAAAGTTTTGAACTCCTTTCATATAAAACGTGTTATTGAATAAATGTATTTATCGTTTTAGTTTCGCTGATAAATATTACCATGTAATGTCAAACTAAAACTACGTTGCCTTAACATTACATTTGAAGTTTGGTTTTTGTAATAGCAAGAATAATCAACAATACATTGATCGTTCTGATATAAATGAGCCGCGTCACGACAAAACCAACATAATGGGTTTGCGACCAGCATGGATCCAGACCAGCCTGCGCATCCGCGCAGTCTGATCAGGATCCATGCTGTTCGCTTACAAACCCTATAACAAGTAGAGAAACTGATAGCGAACAGCATGGATCCTGATCAGACTGCGCGGATGCGCAAACCCATTATGTTGGTTTTGTCGTGACGTGACTCAAATAATGAATTTTATTTTCACAAACAGTACAACCTTGAATTTATTGACTAAACATGAATTACATGTATGTTAAAAAAACAAGTGGGCGAAAAGGAACAGAACAGAATAGAAAATTATCTAGGTCTTGTACGATAAATACAAAATTAATGAACAACATCTGTCGAAAATATAATCTGCGTCTTTTTATAGAAGACCTATATCTATGCACAAGTCAATTTAAACTCGACTCTCACGTGCGGAGTTTCACTTTTGTAATTCCAAAGCCCTGGAAAAGGTACTGCCCTGTGGAAACAGTAAGGTGTTAAAGTCCCGATATAATTTTTCTGCATTGTGATACAGTTTTATCAACAAAACAAAAACACCTCATCTATCCGGCAGTTCGATGACAGAGGGATGGTAAAATCTTGGTTCATTTTCTCGGCTATCGCCCGAGCACCGTCCCGGTATGGGGTGGGGTGATGTTTCAAGAGATTGGTGCATTACTGGCATATAAATTAAACGAAACAATGCTTAGCGATGACATTGTAGAAAAGAATTTTGTAAATAACCTGCTTTAAGTATTTTTCTTGTGTAAGGAAATTTATCATGTATTTGATAATGGTATGTGACATCTTAAGACAGAAAAAATATATACAATACAAACTTAATGGAGTTTTCCTTCAAACAAAGAAGATGAAAAGAAAGGTTAAACATCTATAAATCAATTTTCTTTTGATATTTAACTGAAATGCCAGATAACAAAGGCATAAATAATGTTTTATCAGAAGGAAAAACACTTTAAGTAGATTTTCGAAAAGTTCGAACACTTAGGAAATTTGTTTTAACTCCACAAAGTACGAAGGTTTTGTACGACTATGACAATCGCTTCGAATATGTTAATCTGTACGAATAATATATAAGATATTTCATTACAAAAAATGAAGTATTTCACATTTTTCATCTTTCCAACCAATGATGATAATTACCCTACTATTTTTGGTCAACTGTTAGCCACCTTGTGAAGTTTATATATTTCAGGGTATGCTGAAACTGTTTATAAGCCTAGCGATGAAGTCATCATCGGATTTTGCTCCGAAATCGGCACACACCTGTCAGGTACTCTTATTTCTAACTTCTCCAAGCGAAATATGTATATATATTTGCGTGTTAAAATGTTTTACTCAGTGCAAACAATAATGACCATAAGATTTGTACGGGTTCTTCAATGGTATATCACTTAAATGTTTAATAGCGTCACATAATTATAATCTTTTGAACTAGGTTTACTTTACTAAGCCATAGAAATTCACATACCGCATGAATAAAATGTTCGTATTGCATTCTGTTTTTGTACGTGTTTAAGCACCTCCCAACTTATATATACTTGCATATATTGAGTAGAGTCGATGACTTCTAATCCAGTTACCTCTCTGGCATGGGTTCAATCCCCGGGAGATGCTTTGGTAGTTTTGCACGGAGGAAGGTAGTCTGGTACTGGTGTAACTCTCCAGGAACGATGGTTAGCAAACAAACAAACAGAAAGCATATATTGATATGACTTTTGTTACTCTGTCAGGGATCGAATCTGCTACATTATTCATGGCAATCTCACTCTTAAACACAATAGAACACCGCTTTATATAGCATGAAATGAGACAAATAAACAACACATGTGTTTATCATTCCAGCAACTGCGGTGCAGGCAAGTCCGGCAACCTTACATGCTTTGGTAGAAAAACATGAAGGGAAGGCGAAGGAAATATTTGATTCATTCGACAAAATAGCAAACAAATATAACGTATGATCATTAGTAAATCTCTTGTTTCATACACGTAATTTATAACATATAAACGAGTGCTATTATTATCAATATTATACCTCACGTGATTTATTTGTTTGGTAAAATAAAACAAATATCGCATCCAACTGAGGTTGATAAAAAGAAACTTCACCTCTGAGAAGAGGTTTGTACCTCGGTTGATATCACTTGCTAACATTCAGTTCACAAACCCTCGGTGGGATTTGATGAGAAGGCAAACGATTAAGAGTCTTGATCCTTATTTCTTTAAAAGAAAATTCAAAGTTGTTTTATGTATAAAAAGCATAAAGAGAATATAAAACACGTTTCAAGCTTAAAATTTCAATATTTTTAAAACTAAATTTTTATTTTTACAGATACAGCACAAACTTGAACGCTTACATGACCCTCCTGGAGAGAACATCGTGAAATTCGCGCACGAAAATAACGTGGATTTGATCATTGCCGGAAGTCGAGGTCACGGAACACTAAGACGCACCATTATGGGTAGCGTGAGTGACTATATCGTGCATCATTCTCATGTACCCGTTCTTATTTGTAAGCACAAGGACGAGCATCATAAGATCAAATGATCAATTTGAAGATCAAGTGACAGTTCCAACTGATGGCATATATATATACACAAAAACGATTATAGCATTGTACAAATATTATTCAACGCTGTAACTTATATCTAACTAGATCTCGTCGCCTACATATTTTTATGTGAATAACTCGGATGTAGACCAAAAAAATGGAATTCTAAATCAATATCATTCTTGTTGCACAATTTACAAATTGTTCGGTTTCGGGAATTCTGTGTGCTTCTCTTTCCTACGTAGTTATCATAATACAGTTAGTTTGTAGTTTGATTGTAAATATATAATTATAATTATACAATATATTCTTGTTTTATGTGATTATTTCATCTTTTAAACTATCCATCTATGTTCCCCCAAGTTCTGGGATTATATTATTCAAAGAATCTCAGTCCGATGATTATTTGTACAGATGCTCGTATCATATCATATCATATCATTGAAAGTATAACTTGTGAGTTTGATATATTCAAATATAGAATGAAGTGAAATAAGAAGTGTATAAGAATACTGAAAAGAAGAATATGTCTTTACATGAATTTTGAACATAAATTGACCTATGTTTGATTATAGACCCCTCCCACTACCCGCTCCATCCCCCCCCCACCACCACTCACAAATGTAGCAAATAGTTTTTGTGTGTTTCTTTTAGAGGGAGGATAAATCTCATATTCAAACATGCATGAACGTACATGCTCTGCTTTTTCAAAGAAAGTTTATGCACATTTATAAATACCTTTGTTCATAGCATGACGAATGCTTCGATAAATATTTGTTTATGCTTCAGACTGAATTGCTGCATGCAATGCTTGAAATTATTCAGTGTCTTTTTTAATCAAATACAGATATCAATATCTTTTCGACAGTTAAATCTTATCTATTGCCAGTCTTGCGTTGAAATATAAGAGATTCTATGAATAATTACATGATGAGAAGTTTATACCACTGTTTAAGACGAAGAATTCTGTGGTGGTAATGGTGTTAATAGTTTACCCTCTGGCTCACCAGAGCACAGTTCAGCCCAGCATCGTTTTTTGTCAGGCTTTCGTGTAGTTTACCATGCAGTACTAGTAACTTCAATTTCGCAAGGAACTGATAACTTCTGTACATGCCAGAGCAGATGGACAGTGCGAATGACCGTAGAAAGGATTTCATGATCAATCGCAACGAAAATGACATAAATGACATAACCACAAGTGAATCAACCCCGGGTCTTGATTCACAGACCAACTCTTTATCGAGCTTACAGAACAGTTATGAAGAAATCGTTTTGGTTGAACTCCTCGCAGTACTCAAAGGCACCGGTCATCCTCTTTTAAGCAGTCAGAACTGGTGTCATATAAGAAAACAATCCTGATCTCTGATGCCTCCCACCCCGAAGCCTCCCGGGGTTAGAGAAACGTGACACATCTTAGTTACCACCCACTGAAATAATGTATAAAGTGATTAGAAGCACCTAAAACATATTAGTCGAAGTGATCAAATTCCAGCCAGATTTTGTTTCCATTATCTAGAGAAGAATGTCATATATATAATATCTATAATCTTATTATCTCCACATCCCCTTTTTGAAAGCTATCAACTGATACAAATCAATATATACCACTTTGCTATCTATCTATACGTAATGTAGTGTATATCTTTATTTGTCAGCGAACATGAGTCAATGTCATCACAACAGAAAATCAGGAAGAACACAATTACACCTTCTAACATTAGTCATGTTCAATGAAATTATTTACCAAACGTGAACAGCTGTTTCATTTACAAGAAAAACAATCTGGGCTGTAGTTTGAAATCATTGAAATTCAGTAAATAAATAAATGAGCCGCGTCACGACAAAACCAACGTAATGCGTTTGCGACAAGCATGGATCCAGACCAGCCTGCGCATCCGCGCAGTCTGATCAGGATCCATGCTGTTCGCTTACAAACCCTATTACAAGCAGAGAAACTGATAGCGAACAGCATGGGTCCTGATCAGACTGCGCGGATGCGCAGTGTGATTTTGATCCATGCTGGTCGCAAACGCATTACGTTGGTTTTGTCGTGACGCGGCTTTAATGTAGATAAAACCAGCGTGAAATGAGAGAAAGGTCATATTTAAAGAAATGCTGCATCTAGTAATAACATATATTTCTGATTATATAGATGTAACACAACAAGGGTAACACATATAAAGTTATAATATTAGTTTCCTTTTTGTCTCCGCTCTGACGGGTCATAGCGGTGATTTTGTTTTGGACTACGGGGTATGTTCAATTCGCAATTAGGGGTCATTTAGAGGCGAGTGGAATTTTATCACACGAAAGTCCGGAAAGGCCGGTGACTTTATCGGACCTTCAATAATCCATAACAAAGTCCCCACTTTTCCCCCGAGTTTTCAGGCCGGGGTTATAATTTACTTACTTATACATACGATCACATGAGACATATATATAGTCCGACCCTTGCTTTTTTCACATATCTTAACTATTTTACTTGACCTCTTAAAAAGCACAATAATATGCTACAGTAACTGAAACAGAATACCAAAACTAACACGAAAATGATACATGTAGTATTTTGGGTGACGATTTATTATCATTTAAAATATAAAATATTAGAAACATACTAAGATTTTCATCAAGATAAACATGAACAGTTGTTACCCAGGGTAGTGATATTTTGTAATTAAAACAAAGGTAAAATAAAAAAGTTATAGACTGGTAATGTGGCTGAAGCACTTGTGATTAATAAGGTTGAGGCAGCTTAGTATGTGATCAAGCTTGGTAACGGGGTAACGGTATGGTGGAAGTTCCAATGGCCATTTAAGCGGCTGAGCACACACAGAAAATTAATTTTGCATTTAGTCGTGCATAAAATTTAAAATAAAAGATTGTGTTATTTACCAGTAACTAGTAATTCTTATTTAACTCGTTCAATACAATCAATGGCGCGCGAGTTTTGCTTTAACAACTGAGATTTATATAAACCATATTATACATGAAATAATGTACTTCAAACAAAAAGTTATCATATAATCGTGGATACATATGTAGCCAAATAAACGCTAGACTTCAAACTTTGTACCGTTTTATCAAATTTTGTTTCAAATCATATCAGTTTATGAGAAATATGTACATTTTTTCTTCTCTCCAATTCTAAATTCCAATTCTTATGTATATTATTTAAATTTAATTTTTTCCGGACCAAACATCAAAACCTCGTCTTACCAAACATTATATATGCAGTGCATCAATATATACATGTATATGATTGTAATATCTCAATAATACTAAATATTTTATCACAAACTGTGATGCCTTTTACAATATTTTAATCACTTTTTTATACATTCAATTACATTTAACTAAATGGAAGAAATGTAAATTTTGTAAGTAAAGTTTTCTGATTATGCTTAAACGTTATTTATGATATAATCTTTTACTGCTAATTCCAACCATTTTTTTCCAACTTTCAAGCAAACTTTTTTTCAAAGTGGTTGCATAAAAGTTTGGATGCTGAAGATGGAAAAGTGCCTCCGTGTAATATATTATATGTTTTTTGACAAACAGAAAAACAAACAGACATACAAAAAATATAAGCCCTTCCAATCAATCGATCTGGACTATTTTAGAATGTAATGTTTATTTCTGTTGCAACATCTGTCAGTCATGGCGGTCATAAAACAAAGAAAGGAATTTAATTACGGAAGTGCAAAAACAAACGAGTAAACAGATAAACGAATTTACGTGAATGAAACATTTTCTTCTTGCTTTTATCTTTAGTTTTTTATTCTTCCTTCTAAACAGTAATTGAAGTTAACTCTCGAGTTACGCCGCGTTAATTAATGTAGAAATAGTCTCGAGCGAGAACGCACGCGCAGTGAAATACCGTTCAATATAAACATCTTATATTGGCTGATACGTTAGATAGCTGTGCGTTTAGTGTGTTGTTATTTCTACATATTTACGAGAATATTTAAATCCTATACACAATAATGGCTGAAGCAGGAAATACATCGGAAGGGAAACGGAATATTATGATTGCTATGGATGGTAGTAAACACGCAGTTTTTGCCTTTGAATGTAAGTTGATATTATATTCTATATACTGCACGCATACAAGTTACATGCATTTTGTATGCATATGATGCTGTGTGTTAGTCTATATAGCTAGTATTAATGTATATTCAATTGATTAATAATGTACATTTATTACGTACTGAATAAATTCAAGCTAATTTGATGCCTAGATTGCTAGTGCTATCACTCGGAGAAGCGGTTTTTTATCATTTTTAGCGTGAGATGATATACATTATTAGAGAATCAATATACAACTCTATGGAACGCCAAAACTAACATTTTTTCATGCTCGGTTAATTAGAATTCGGTTAAGTAGAAACAGGTTTAATGTGTATATTTTTAAGTCAAGTTTTCATTGTGTTGAGTAAAATTAGACTGAGGTTGAGTATTTGATCAAACTGACATTAGATTGACTCAAATTGACATAAAGTTTAGTCTGGTTGGATGTTTTTGTTTGGTCAGTTAGATATTAAGTTGAGTCAATATGACATTATTTTTAAGTTAGCAGCATTTTCAACCACTGTGGCATTATGCTGGGCCAAAATAGTATTATGTTAATTAATATTGCAATAAGTTGAGTCAAATAAGCATAATGACATATGTTCGTATCTATTTAGCATAAAGTTGATTCAAAGTCTCAAATATATCAAACATTCATTTGAACACAGCATAACTGGCAACTGAATATAAAGTTTTCAGCTTAACAACTTTGCAAACATTCACAAAATTTGTGTCACTTGACCCAACATATAAATGTTAAAACGACAAAACTTAATGTCAACTTGACCTAATATACCAATTATGCAAAGTTCAGCCAGCTTAATACATGTACCAAACTGACACAACATGGTGAGTGAAAACAGACTCTTTCTTATGCTAATTTGACCAAATCTGATATCAATCTGTCCAAAATAAACATAAAGCAAACGTGAACCATCATGATGCCTAGTTGACTCAACATTATGATTATGCTAATCTGACGCATTATAATGCCAACTTAAAACAATAAAATGCCATTTCGACTCAACCTAACGTGAACTCAACCTTACTATAAGATAACCGAACATAAGGATATTTTGATTCAGCCTAGCTAACTCAACAGAATGCCATTTTGACTCAACCGAATTTCTTCTTGGCTAAACAAAATGCCAGATTTACTCCATCTAATGCCAGTTTGTCTTAACAACATAATTCATCTAGATGTCATAAATACAGCACTGAACCCAATGCAGATGTTAACTTTACCCAACATAACACCAATCTAAATGAAGTTCGACATCTAACCAAACATCTCTGAACAAAAGGTAATATTGGCGTTCCATAGTATTCAGTGTTAAGTGTTGAGAAAAGTCAATACCGCGTATTCCTTTCTTTACAATGTAACAAATGTTTCTGCCTGTCGTCTATTCATTTGTTGTGACATTTACTGTCTTGTAAAATTAAACCTTCGGTCACCATATATTATACTGACAATCACGATGTTAAAGGCTGTAAAAGTGTTCAGTTTAAAGTGGTCTTCTCGTGTTCCTCTTTCGGGAGCGGGGATTTCAAAATATATAGATATGGAAATAAATCATTAGTATTTAGTGATACAAGGGGACGAACAATATAATGATCGATGTCAGATTCAACGATTATTCCACTTAACCGGCACTTTCGTATTGTGCTAGAGCAAATAATTTTTATTTATTTAGTCGTCCTTTCAAACTTTAATTTGTACCAGGGTTATATGAATATTTTGAGAGCAAGGTTATATGAGCATACTGGGACAATTGTTATATGAATATACTGAGTCAGAGACCAATTTCAATTACATTTATTTAAATAAAAGTGAAAAAATTACATATTTGCATTAGTTAATTACTTTTTTATTAGTAAATTACCTGGCGTTATAATATATATCGTTAATAAGTGTTTGCGTGTAAAACAGTTCTAGACAGGTGAAATGAGTAATATATTGTACAAGATGAGTAATAATGGGAGATAATGATATTCAATACATGTGATGATACCACTTACTTGCCCTTGGATTTGTTTACTTGACAAGAACGGCACGAATATTTATGCTATTAATAACAATTTCAAATAAATATTTGAGATCTTGACACTAAATTATAATTATAAATTCCTTGTCATTTCATACAGACATTAAGCGCTTGTACTAAACCTCCACACAGGCTCGCTTTAAATAGAACGTTTTCCTAAAATTCTTTGAAATAATAAGACCCTTCTGAAGCTAACATTCCTATCTCTTAAAGCTTTCCATCACTCAAAATATTTCAATGCCACCGAGTGAATACTCGGAACAATATATTTAACACTCTTACAGTTCTTACAGTAGCTTAGCACACCGGAAGGCTTTCATAAATTGCTAACTTTAGCTTGATTCAAGGCTTTAAAAATTGTATCCTTTTCTCAATCTGATTTAATAGATAGAATATATCTACATGTGAGAAATAAGAAGATCTGAACTTTAGTCCATTGATCCATTTCTTACATGTTCCATTTCTTACATGTACAGCTAAACTAAGTGCAGCCAGATGTGTTTATTTTTCTTTAGGTTTTAGAAATAAAACGATTCCTATTTGACGTGTATTACGGTGAGAACTTATTAACGACGGGCATCCGTGGTCGAGAGGTTAAGGTCGTTGACTTCAAACTACTTTCCCCTCGCCGCTGTGGGTTCGAATCCCGACAGGAACTTTGGATTCTTTCATGTGAGGAAGCTATCCAGCTAGCTTACGGAACGTCGGTGGTTCTACTCAGGTGCGTGCCTGAATTATGCACGGAAGGGCACCTGAGGTCTTCCTCCACCAGTATAGCTGGCACGATATGACCTATACTGTGTCGATGTGACGTAAAACCCAATATAAATAAATAAATATTTACGAGTAATTCTATTTTTTTCTTCAGGTTTTGTGGAGAATATATACCGTGAGGGGGACAATGTGATAATGGCTCATTGTGCTGAACATTCGATTAATCTGCCAGGTATATTCTAATGCATCATCATAAAATGACAGTAAAATTATTTACACAAACAACATCTGTGCCAGAGACCGCATCCAATTAACACAAATATGACATAAAAAGAGGCTAAAGAATATATTATTACCGGTATATCATTATTAATTTGGCAGAATAAATGTCTGTTTTTGAGATTAGAATGGCACCAACGTGCCTTATTTGAAAGAACGATTTTTTGTAGAGTTCGATGAAACTAAATTATCGCTAAACCTACTTAAGAAAGAACACGAAAAAGAAACAGTATGTGATACAGTCCTTCAGCAATTGATCAACGTGTTTTAAATATTATAAGAGAATGAAGTAATTGTGAGTGATTTACATATAATACATAATACTTAGCCTTTTATAAATAACCTTAAACCCTTTAAACCTCAAAATAACTTGTTTAAAAATCACAGACAACATACCAATGGTAACAAAATTTCCATCATTTTAGATGGTATACCTAAAAATAATCGTATCTCTTATTGTAGAGAAATAACAAAAGGTTCATGGTAAATAAAAATAGAAACCACAGAATGTCGACATAACGGTGGCGAAACAAAAAAGTCATACACTTTTGACATTTGAGCACCATACTTAATGGTCTCAACCTTTGGACTTTAGACCTCTGACTTTTAAGATACATGTATTTTATATTCGGCGATGGCCGTAACAGAACACCGTATACATAGTATTTCGTAATTATAATATGAAGTTTAATTTTATGATGTATGATTGAATTATATGAAGTACGTCCTAACTGCAGGGACAGATTAGTGTACCAGATGCAATTATCATGATAACACTATTAATGTTGATAATCAAAGTGTCGGTTTTATCTGAATTCCGACATTTATTTATTTTTGTTTTGTCTCTTTCCTTGTTTCTCAGGAAGACACTTGTCGATCAGTGTTCCTTGGGCGTGTTCCAGTATTATCATGTTTTTTCCGCATGTGGTTTCTTCTCTACACTCATTTAAAACATTGGTCGAGAAGATTTCGCATTTAACATATAGTTTTCAACAAAATCATAGAGCTCTAACTCACGAATTCGAAGATCACTAGCGAGAAAGAATGTTGTGGGTATAATTACCCATATACATTTTATGTTTGTGCTCGATTGTTTAAGTTTTACTTCCTTAAAATGGCTAAATCTTTTAGTCATAATAGGCTAATTGATTATTATAATAATGATAATGATAAATCTTTACTTCATGAATATAACATATATGTATGTGTTCAAAGTTAATAAAATTAAAACACAACTTATTTTCATATGGCCTTTTGAAATGGCACCAGATAATGTTAGTTTAACTTTCCGTCATTTCAGTAAAACTTTGCTGAATATATAGTGATGTTAATTTGAGGAGGGAGGGATATACACAAGTATACAATAAGAAACGATAAAACAGATTTGATTAAAAAACATTCTTCTCTGTCAAAGAAATAACAGATGTCCATTTGGACTGATGCCGATTCGTATGCCAGGATGTAAAATTGTTGTTATTCCTGTTACAGCTACAATGTTAAAGGCTGACAGCGCAGCTGAATTAGAATCTTTGATGAAACAACACGAAGAGAAGTTATCTAAAACATTTCAATTTATTGACGATTTAGCAAACAAACACAAAGTAAGTGTCCAATCTGATGTTCATTATATTTATTTTGCCCAGCCAAGGGTATATAGTGATTGAACATGCTGTTGGAGTCAAAATAGGTTTACATCCTGCCATTGTTAATTTCAATTTCGCGATAAAAATTTGCTTGATCTAAGAAGTTTTCTGCAGATATCCATCACAAAAAAAGTGGGACAGTCTTTTTATAAAGTTTAGGCAGATTTATATCTTATCCTAAACAATTTTCCTATATCAACTGTTGGTCACTCACCATTATATCAGTCAACATGACAATGAAAAAATGAGCATGTCACTTTATACCAAGTGCAAAATATTATATACACTTTCTCAATAAATAGATAAATGTATGTCTTAACCCTTAGCCTGCTGAATTTCTGTAATGAACTTTTCCACCTTCCTATTTGAGAATTATCCATAATCATTTAAGGGATATCAAGATAAGAACTTGAAGATGGTCAGCCACCAGTATAGAGCCTGGTCAGACTGCACGGATGTGCAGGCTGGCCTGGCTCTATACTGGTGGCAAAGGCAGGTCACTTTTGCTGCCAAAATGTCGGCTCTGTCTTTCAAATGTCACTAATTTTGTGAGCTTTTTTGTGTGTGTATACTGATGTATTACTTTTGTGTAAAAAGGTGCTTTGTCATTTTTAGACTTAAACGTATTGTACAATAAATATTTATTCTAATATTTTCAAATAGTCGTATATAGGTCAACAGATACCTGTAAAGAAAGTTATTGTTTAAATGATCAATTCACTGAAAATTGATTTATTTTCACATGCCCTTGTTATTTTGAAAAAGTGGATGTAGTAAATTAACATTGTGTCTATAAGCACGAGTGTCCTTGTTTATATAGTTCATATATGTTGCCATATTTTTAATTTGTTGTTGACGTATCAGTACGCCGGCCGGGAAGTGATTACTAGTGATATATCACCAGTCTATTGATTTCATTAAAATGAAATCTTTGAACTTGGTCATTATGTATGATACATGTGTATATATAGTAGATGTTCAAGTTTACCCTTGAACACAATCATATATTACAAAATTATAATGAGCCGTGTCACGACAAAACCAACATAATGGGTTTGCGACCAGCATGGATCCAGACCAGCCTGCGCATCCGCGCAGTCTGATCAGGGTCCATGCTGTTCGCTTACAAACCATATAACAAGTATAGAGAAACTGATAGCGAACAGCATGGATCCTGATCAGACTGCGCGGATGCGCAGGCTGGTCTGGATCCATGCTGGTCGCAAACCCATTATGTTGGTTTTGTCATGACACGGCTCAATTATTATTATATCGATACATTGTACTTGGACGCTAAACCCATTAGCGATGTGTCATTTCTATCGCAATGTATAGGCATAAATATAAACATTTTGTCGGAATAGTCTCTTCCAGTCAAACTTTATTTGTATTTTTCTAATTGTGTATTTTTGCAATATATGAATTAGTACACCATAATTTGCATTGTAATTCCCTTGAAATGTCAATGTCTGGTAAATCGTCGGAAGGATAATAAAATCTGAATGAGATACTTTGTTCTTCATTGCGGAAACAAGTTTTATTGCAAATATGTATTGTAATCTGGTAAATAATTTCTGACTTTCTAATTTGGATAAAGGAATGTACAAACTTTGTTTCGGAAGCCGTATTTCCTATTAGGATTAAATTAATTTGGTCTTTTACTTTAAAAATGCCAGTTTTTTCCATGTAGTTTGTATAGATTAAAACGTTACATATCTTCGCGGTGTACTGTATACTTGATCTTTATTTTTCATTTCAAAAATTTTCAGTTTTTCTTTCAAATATCAAATTTGAACATAATAATCTTTAATTTTCATGACAAAATTTATCTTTATTTTTCAGATTAAACATACTTTAGAATGTTTGAATGGATCGCCAGGCGAGTCATTAGTAAAAGCAGCGGAACAACAGAACGTTGATTTGATAATTGTCGGAAGTCGTGGTCACGGTACAATACGCCGCACGGTGATGGGATGCACGAGCGACTATGTTGTACATCACTCCCGCGTTCCTGTGATGGTGTGTAAACACGAGGACGAACATCATAAACTCAAATAATACAGCAAAACTTAACATTGACTCTAAATATTTCACCAACACCCTGCGTTATTTATGTAATGAGCGCGCCCTCTATTGACAATTAAAGTTTACTATTAAACATTATGTATTACGTTGACATATGGATTGGTTTAGAGCTGTGTAGTTATATGTATATGTGGTTATTTTATCATATCACAGAGAATAATAAAGATAAATGATTTAAAACATTCGTATTGAGTTCGTCTGCCGTCAGCTTCCTTTAATTTGTTAATCTGGGTCCGAGGTTATATAGAAATTCCCATAGCTCAAACTCATATCTCTGGCATTTGATTGGCCAGAAATTGCCACAGAATGTACACTGACCAATGGAAATCACAAAAAATTGTAACCGTGGGACCTGGTCCCTTATGAAGTAAGAAAATAACAATATCCTCTGTTGGAAATAGATTGTATTATACAAAAAAGTTTCTTTTTTCTATGTTCAAATAGATAATGTATTCACGTAATACCATTATGTTTTCTATACGAACATGAATTATTTACAATCTAACAATAATACAGCCTCTGTTGTGAAGAAACAACAAAGCAATATAATATATAAGAGGTCAGAACCGGCGTCGTTTACTTGTCAGTAATTACAAGTCACATTTATACTTAGATGGTTTCTGGAAAATCAAATTAACCATATATTGTGATCTAGTGAGTCTCTTAACAAATACGATATGATATCAATTTAAAAATGTCCAAGGAACCATCTTTCAGTCACTAGCAATAACAGTTTAAACATATTTTATTCCTTTCAATTTTTTACAATATGTACAATGCAAATATATAGAGAGAAAAATATATAAATACATTTTGAAAGAAAAAGGGTTGGACCACAAGTTCAAATAACATAATGATAGGAGTAAAATTCTCTCGCGCTGATTTCATATTGCTGAAATAGATAAAATAGCATAAAAATACATGGCCAATCACAATAAAGAGAATTTCAGTTTCAGCACCGAAAATCATAACTTAGACACATTGATTCACTCAGAGAAAATCCTGAGGTCTGAATAGAAACTGATCGTGTCAAAAACATAACTTGGGTCCCTTTAATTCAGTTAAAACAAAAGAAGGAAAATAAAGCCGTCATTATATGTACACTATGTATTTTATACAATCTTAAAAAGCGTTGTCCGTGTGAAAATATTTTATCTCAAATAGTGTGCTACATTTAAGACAATAAATGGAAAACGCGGAAGAAAATAAATTTCAGATATTTTACAACTGATACCAAGGATAAGGTATTTCATCCATCCATGTTAAGTTTAAAGATCTGCACACTTCATCAGGTTCCCTAAATGTGAAAAGTTGAGAGTTGACAATAAACTAAGGTGTCCCCTTATGACCAGCGCGGTTTCTCTGAGAACATACAAAGGAAAAGCGCTTGCAATGACGTCACTTCGCAATAAACGGCCGTGTTCGTTCATTCCCATTTATATAATTTTCCATTAACAAGATTAGCCTGACTCAGCCAGCCACTATAGGGTATATATGAGCCGCGTCACGACAAAACCAACATAATGCGTTTGCGACCAGCATGGATCCAGACCAGCCTGCCCTTCCGCGCAGTCTGATCAGGATCCATGCTGTTCGCTATCAGTTTCTCTACTTGTAATAGACTTGGTAAGCGAACAGCATGGATCCTGATCAGACTGCGCGGATGAGCAAGCTGGCCTGGATCCGTGCTGGTCGCACACCCATTATGTTGGTTTTGTCGTGACACGGCTCATATACAATTATATTTGAAGAATTCAGCTTTTTTGTCACTTTCCTTATATAAAATGTTTCATTATATTTACATGTATTTTAATATTTTGTTTTAATAATTTTAAAGTTTTTATTCACTATGCCACTTTCCGAATTCAATATTTATTTGAAGTGTTTGTTTGACTAGATCCGGTTTACAAAGGCACTTTCCAGTTGTAATATTTATTGGAAGTTTTGAATTGGCAAGATTCAAATAAATAGTATGACACTCCGTTTGTAATAATCAATTTACCTTTCAATTTTCCAATTTCTGGCTTACTACGGCAGTTTCGTATTATTATGTTTATATGTTGTTCTGATATAAAAAAAAAGTTCGGCCAACTATCGAACTTCGTATGTAATATTTGTTTGTACTTTTGAATTAACAAGGTTTCGGTTAACTAAGACATTTCTATGTGTAACATTTATATGAAGTTCTGAATTGATATGGTAACTGTAGCTTAATAAAATACTTCCCATGCGTAGTGTATTAGCAATTAAAGTCATTTTTAGACAAATGAGTCGCGTCACGACAAAACCAACATAGTGGGTTTGCGACCAGCATGGATCCAGACCAGCCTGCGCATCCGCTGGTCGCAAAGCCATTGTTTTGGTTTTGTCATGGCGCGGCTCAAATATGTGGCGCCTTCTACAAGTTGCCAAATTTGCCATACTCAATGTTATTCGATTCTGCCATAGGAAATCTGTGACGACTGACTTCTAATGCTCACTTTTTCATTTTGAAATGTATATAGAATATATAAATATAATAAATTTGGGAAAAGCTACTCGTACTTAAGACTTTCTTTGTAACGAAACTGAGTTTTTTCCCCTTAAAAGAAATCGTCTTCATTTTGTTTCACCGATAAAGTTATGTCTACTTTCTTTGATATAACTTGTTTGAGGAAGTATGTTATATTCGTTAATGTCGGTTTATTTCGTATGTCATTAAACAAGTGTTTCCGGCCTAGACGCATTAATCTGCAGGAATCTCTTGACAAAATCAATGCTTCCTTTACATAGTCGCAGCTAACGTGATTGTTCTCTGCAGAACTCTTTCCTGTCTCCTCTAGAGATTGGGGTCAAGTGTTTGGGTTTTAATGGTTTCTTAGTTGATGTAAACGCACTCCTTGCTTTCATTTAGTAATGGCATTGAACACTAAACCGGCTGAAATTCTAATATGAACTATTTAAGTTTCCATGTTTAAAGTATCTCTGATGCCAAGTTGAAAACTTAAAGTAATAAAAAAAATTGTTGGACTGCATGGGTGTGCAGGCTGGCTTGGCTCTATACTGGTGACAAAGTCTGATCATTTTCTGTTCCATCAATGAGAGTTTAGATACGCTATTCATCATTTTGCTTTCGCCGATGACAATGGTATGATACTATGTCATTACGCATCTTCTCAATACTCCTGACTTGATCATTTTAGCTCACCTGAGCACAAAGCTCTTAGAGGTGAGCTTTTGTGATGGCAGTGTGTCCAGCGTTCGTCGTTGTCTACAATATCTCCTTCTAAACCACTTGATAAATTTTGACCACACTTTACAGGAATGATCCTTAGGTGGTCCATTAAAAAACTATATAAATGGTTCCAGTCTGATGCAAAGTAGGTGACGGGAGCTAAATATACTTCTTTAAAAAATATTCTTGCCAATAATTGCAATGCCCAGAGCATACATATTTAACATGTAGTATCACTATAAAATTATGTAAATTATGCCCGTAGGAACAACAATGGCGACACCCTTGGAGTCACTTAGATTGCATAGGCTTATACATAGAAAAATACACTTAAGTCTTCTTTCATAAAAATGCCAAGACCTTAAATATTTAGCTTGTAGCTTTGTCAAGTAAACCTCTGCAAAAATAACCAAACCACTGGTGCAGTTCGGGTGTCACTTAAATTTTATGAATTTTTGTGACCTCAACAAAGTTATATAAGCCACCTTGGGTAACAAATGGCCCCGGCCTAGGGTCACTTATTTTACATACACTTGTATAGTAAAATGCCTCTTTGAAATTGCAATACAAAGAGCTTAGATATTTTACATGTAACATCATAAAACAGATCCCTGGGTCAAAATTGGCATTGCCTCTGGGTCACTTAGTTTATTTTATTTAAACTTGTAAAGGAAAATCCATTTAAGTTTTCTTTTGTGAAACTATAATACCAACCCTTAGATATTTGGTATGTAGCATTTCCTCTGGGTTCAAAATTGGCCATGTCCTGGGGGTCACTTATTATACATAGACTTGTATAGTAAAAACGTCCCAAAGGTCATTTTCTCAGAAATTAAAATGCCCGAGCTTATATATTTTGTATTGAAGAATCACCTTGTAGTCTTATACAGAAGTTATGTCATGGCCCTGTGGTCATAACTGGCCCGGCCATGAAGGTCACTTTCAGTTTAATTAGACTTGTATAGATAAATACATTCAAATAAAACATGGCCTAGTGGACATCTACAAATTTAAATTAAGTTATGCCCCTAGGGTTAAAAATAACCCCACCCCGGAGGTAGCTTAGTTTACATCGTTTTGTAAGTAAAGATGCCTTCAAATATTCTTCTGCCTAGAGCTTAGATATTTTGCATGAAGCATGACCATGTAGTTCTCTACAAAAGTTTTATAAATCAAACTGGCCCACACTGGAGGTAACTAAGTTTGCATAGACTTTTAATTAATAAAGTATTCGTTTCTAAAATCACAATGTTAAAAACTTAGATATTTGTCATGAAACATTTCGTAGCATGCATCTTAATATATTTTTAAATATATATTTTATTTTATATCTTAAAGAAAAAGATGACAAACTCAATGTGACTTCATTGCAGGGTTTACCTTTTCTTAATCTTAATCTCAGGTGACCGATCCAGTACCATAATGACTCTCTTGTTTAGGTTAAATGGTAACGGTGACGGAATAGTAAAATATTGATGCACATTAAGTTAGACATTTCGGCACCAAACTATCCTATTGAGATGCCGGAGACAGAAACTAAAAATTAAAAACTCTTCTCATTCCGCAAGTCACCCCTCTCGGTACTGACTCGGGGCACGAACGCCGATGTTGCATAATGCAAACATTTTTGCAAGCATTCGATTAATGTTAAGGAATAAGAAAGAAAGTCGTTCTCAACAGTTGATTCAAATTATTATCAGAAGATGCTCATTTTAATAGGTTACATTTGCCCGAAATTATCAAATAGCGTTTTATAGAGGATATTTAATGAGTGTAAGTTCATTACTGAATTTATTGCACTCGTTGAATAAAAATTATATTATGCGAGCCTCTGGCGAGCATAATTTTATTTTATTCAACGAGTGCAATAAATTCAGTAATGAACTTACACGAATTTAATATTCTATTTATCACATACCCAAATTACAGACCGTTTAAAGTGAAATAAGAGTCATTTTTCTTTGACGCGGCTATAGTTCACAACGCTAACATTTAGCGCGTCTTTACATTAAGTTTGTCTATAACGCTAATGACGTCACGTCAAAATATATGCACGGCCGTGCAATACCATATTTACGGAGTCGCAAAATCGGCACGGGTGTGTGATAAATATTATTATTATTATTATTGAATCTGTTGTGATTTTTTTTTCAATTTTAGTTTAAGAGACCACATGAATGTAAGAAAAATGTTATTAACCTTTCTTTCAAAATTTATACATACATGTCACCTTGTTGAAATTGAGATTTTTATTATTGTAACAATGTATTATGTTAATTAATTCAGATACGCTGGTGTAATTGGTTTTGACGGAAATAAAACATTTCTGGAACATCAATATTTGCTTCGCTATTTTTCGTCCGAGCTACATTCAAACCAAAGAGTAAAATAATAAACATGATAATAACTGCATGATTACACATAAAAAGACTAAAAACTTGTAAAAGGAAATTTATCGATTTCAAAAGTGTTCACAAAGTTTAAATTTTAAACAAATAGGAGTTATAGTTAGATCTACAAATAAACTTTTGTTGGCCTTACATTACCAAAACGAAATACAGCAAAAGTAAACAGTTCAATATTATAGAAAAGAATATTTACATGTAGTTTACATGTACAATCGAATACGGTACATAACGTTTTGGCCTTGAACTATAAATAATACATTAAACCAACTGGTTTAAAATAACAACGCCGGCTGACACGTAGTCAATTTTATTATCTATATCATGTATGACGGGAAAACATTGATCGTATACATGTGTTATCATAAGTTCAAACTCCATCATGTGATGTAAATGTAAGGACCTTAGATATACATATAAGGTGCATTGTGAAAAAAAACGTGTTGTGAAAATCAATCGTGTAAAATCTAAAGAATTTTTGTCGTCTGCAAAGAGGGGACTTAAAATTAAATAATGGCGGAGTCGGATACACAGAAACAAACAGAAGAGAAGAGGAATGTTATGATAGCCATGGATGGGAGCAAACATGCTATATATGCATTTGAATGTAAGTAAATCTATGCCTACAATGGCTACATGTAGAAATATAGAATCTATATTAATAGGCCTATTTCATAAATATTTCTACAGTACAGTATTCTTTAACAGTGTTTAAGATGGTATTTTAAAAGCTTTAAATATTCAAGTGGGAAAACAACTAGATCTAAACCACAGACACTTGGGGTTTGGAGCTCAAAACGCCTTTAAAATCCAAATAAAATGCATATTTGTCAATCCCAGCACATGTACTGATCATATATATCAAAAAAACTTAATATAAGCCGTTTTGAAAAAAAATCATATTTCAACATCTATAATAATAGTTGTTGAAATATGATTTTTTTTTTCAAAACGGCATATATTAAGTTTTTTTGATATATATGATCAGTACATGTCCTGGGATTGACAAATATGCATTTTATTTGGATTTTAAAGGCGTTTTGAGCTCCAAACCCCAAGTATCTGTGATCTAAACATGTCAACTTTAGACCAAAACCAGCTGCTAAGTCTGAAGGTAACTGGAAGGTAGTGAGTGTCTTAACTGATCGACTGCTGAAAAATAAATAGCATTTTATGTCCGGGCAATCATAACAAATAAAAGACTTCAATTTACCGCGATTGCTCACTGTTCTAGGCCTGTGTAGTGCCCTATTCTTAAAAGGGGCCATAATAGCAAAGGGGCTCCTGTGCTTGAAAGTTACAAATATTAAAATTGAAACTGGTAGTACTAGGCCTAGTAGTAGACTTATTCATATTCATCTATATATACCGATTCCGTTCATGGCCAAAAGAAAACTTCACGTGACAAAGAAACTAAATCGGTTAAGACGTTACTCTGCTATTTTATATTAATATAAACAGTACAGTATAAATCAGTAGAAAATGGTTTTTTGGTCTGACACATTGTTAACCCTTGAACACGCCACACACTCGACATGTCTACATTAAGACACAAATAGACTAACTTATTAACGCCAACCGACCAGTTATCATAATTATACATGTACATGTATTGTTATTAAAGTCCTTTTGAGCAACGGTCAATAAGTGTGGCATAACACTCATCTGTCTAGATAAGTAGGCCTACTAATCAAATGAGGAGCATAATAGTAACAGACAACTCAGTGAACGTCTGATTCTCTACTATACAGCTCATGGTGCAAGTAGGGTAACACCGAACAACATTGAAAGTAAAACTGTTTTTTTGACGCACCTTGTCAATTAATGCCAAAATTTCATTATCAAGGGCACATCCTAGTCATGTATATATTGCATATTTAATAGATTTTATGCCCACATAAAATAATTTATGTCATTGTTCTGTCCCTATACTCATTACGGTACAGAATATTGCGGGTCAGGTTTTTAGCCGTTACGGGTCAGGTTTTAGCCAAGTATGTCTTAGCCAATCGATATCAAGACTTAAATCATGTGATGTTAATTAACCAATGATTACATTAGATCTATCACAAAGAAATAATTTTGGCGAGGAATGATTCTCGCCTTTCTGTTTACTAAAATTTATCTATTTTTGAAGTCATAAGCTTTATTTAAAGTGAACTAATTACGTATTACTATGAACAGTTATCTTATTAATCTGCTGGGAGCGAATTTTAGGGACGGTGTCCCCCGTTTCATATTCAATTTCGTGACGAAAATGGCAATTCATTTCACGGCAACACGGGCAGGATATCGTAACAGGATACAATTTATTATCAAATGAACATTTCTACATTCGTTATTAAATTTCACCTCATTTGAGACTCGGGAATTTAGACAGAACGATTATTTCGTAGATACCATACTATTTACGAGTCCTGAAAGTTACCATTGTTCAACAGTTCAAGTTTTGTACAGATGCCAAAACAAACATAAACGATCATACTTATGGCGAATAAATGGTTCATGGTTGACATGTCTAAACAACATTTACCTGTTTACACCAGATGGATGCCACCTGTTTACTCTGATCAGCTACGTCTCCTCAATGAGATAAGAACAGCAGCTTGGTCGCCGCCCCGAAGCATTTCATTTGTCAGACAATTTCAAAAGATAAGTATTTTGTTTACTATGTCTTTAAGTTATATTGTACTAAAGTCAGTATTTTACTGCATTGTCTGCCTGCCCTGTTATACAAACTATGAACAGATGAAGTCTAGGTTTGTTGCTTTGTCTTAACAAATTAATATAATAAGCTTTGATTATGACTCGAAGTAGATCTACTTAATGAATTTATCAGTGAGTAAATTTCTTTATATTTATAATATATAAGGTTATTCATTGCCGGGTTTGTTGTTGGTCATCAATTATTCTCCTAATGATAATGTACAAGAATGCAGTAGTAATCAGACATAATTTTTCCTGGACACATAATTGAAATTCTATATTAGTCATGTTAGTTATCACTTATTTCCAATTCATTTACAGTTCACACAAACTTCTAATTAGAGTAGATAATAGTAAATGTTGATTTTCTGCTAGTCTACTATACATTTGTACACACTCACATCATCATAGCAGTATTATTTAGCAACATGTTAAGTAACAGTCCAGATTGGAGCGATTTAGCCTTATTTCTTTTTAATTTTACATTTTTTTTTTTTTTTTGACTCCAACTAAATACAGTAAGTGTGATTTAGTTTATAATTTCCATACATTCATGTTTCACTGTTTTGTTTTGTTTTTTCAGTCATTGAATTTAAGATTCAAAATTACTGTTCTGAATTCTAATTTTGAATTTATTCTACTATACACTTAATCAAATTTTCTTTAAATTTACACTGACCTGAACTAATTTTCACTGGCCTAGGACCAGTGTTAAATTCTATGACTGGTTTTACAACAGTTTAAACACGATTACAACACAAGGTTAGTTTACAGTCCGTGTTAGTTGCATTTATACATATTCTAGTATACATGGCTTAATATATAGTTTTATGTCTGCGGGACTTAGTTAACATTTAGTACACATTTTCAACACAATATAGTTGACGATCCATGTGAGTGTGATTTTGTTTATAATTATACGCATCGTATGATAAATGACTTGGTTTATAATCCATGTCTGCTTGATAACGTTTACAGTTCACACATAGTTTTATGATACATGTACATGTAAGTGTGATTTTGTTTACAATTCGCACACATCCCATGATACATGGCTCCGGTTATAGACCATGTCTTAGTGATTTAGTTTACCGATGATACACATGGTTTAGTTTACACGCATATTTTCTACACATGGTTTAGTTTACACTCCTGGTGAGTGTGATTGAGTTTAGAGTTCTCGCATATCCAATTATACATTGCTTAAGTTTATAGACAATGTCTGCGTGATTTAGTTTACAGTTCACGCCTAATTTCTACACATGGTTAGTTTACAGTCCATGTGAGTGTGATTTAGTTTACAGTTCACACTTATCATATTATACATGGCTTAGTTTAAAGTCCATGTCTGCGTGATTTAGTTTACAGTTCACGCCTATTTACACATGGTTTAGTTTACAGTCCATGTGAGTGTGCTTTAGTTTACAGTTCACACATATCCTATTGTACATGGTTTAGTTTAAAGCCCATGTCTGCGTGATTTAATTTACAGTTCACAATTATTTATTCACACATGGTTTAGTTTACAGTCAGTGCGAGTGTGATTTAGTTTATAGTTCACTCATAATTATCCTATCAGAATTAATTTAATAATCAATTACATTTCATACATTTAGTCTACCTTAATGACAAAATAATTCATATTTTTCAGATGAAACGGCCACAAATTCTCCTTACACCTGTTATTCAGGTCCACAACAAGGAAAAGCCAAATACCAAGAATGTCCAGTAAATCCTGCAAAAGCCAAGACTAGTCGAGGGAGCAATCATTATCGTAGAATTAATAGTGCAAGCGGACCTGGGACCTAAGACAATGCTTTCATCAGTACATTAGCAGCCTTTCATTACATGTTTCATAGTTTTCAAGGTTGAGTCAGATAATTAATAAACTGATGTTGGCATACATGTTTTACACAGCTTCAAGGAAATTCATATTTATTGCCCAAGACAGTTGAAATAACATAAGAAGTAATGGTATTCAGATTGCTGAGCTAATAATTACACCTTTTATAAACCAGAAATAGATTCTGTACTTGTCTTGTCATCTTGGTTTAGTTACACGCCTTGCTATTCTTTCAACATACCATTATTGTACTATGCATTGCTTAGTTTACACGCTTTGCCATTTGTTTGTCTGTACTTGTCAGCTTGGCTTAGTTTACACGCCTTGCTATTATTTCAGCTTATCATTGCTGTATTAGGCATTGCTTAGTTGACACGCTTTGCCATTTGTTTGTCTGTACTGGTCAGCTTGGCTTAGTTTACACGCCTTGCTATTATTTCAGCATACCATTGCTGTATTAGGCATTGCTTAGTTTACACGCTTTGCCATTTGTTTGTCTGTACTTGTCAGCTTGGCTTAGTTTACACGCCTTGCTATTATTTCAGCATATCATTGCTGTATTAGGCATTGCTTAGTTGACACGCTTTGCCATTTGTTTGTCTGTACTGGTCAGCTTGGCTTAGTTTACACGCCTTGCTATTATTTCAGCATACCATTGCTGTATTAGGCATTGCTTAGTTGACACGCTTTGCCATTTGTTTGTCTGTACTGGTCGGCTTGGCTTAGTTTACACGCCTTGCTATTATTTCAGCATACCCTTGCTGTATTAGGCATTGCTTAGTTGACACGCTTTGCCATTTGTTTGTCTGTACTGGTCAGCTTGGCTTAGTTTACACGCCTTGCTATTATTTCAGCATATCATTGCTGTATTAGGCATTGCTTAGTTGACGCGATTTGCCTTCATTCATAAATTTTTAATAGTGTGCATTGCTTAGTTTAAATGCTTTGCAATTTGTTTTCAAGTCTCAAATTATGTACTGTCTTGTCAGCTTGGCTTAGTTTATTTTATCTCAGCACGGCTGATGCTTTAATTTGATATGAAATTGGATTTTAATTGT